GCAGGCCCCAGGGACCCATGGGCGGTGCTGCCCACAGTCAGGGTGGGGTCTTTCCTCTTCAGTCACACCTCTCCATAAACACCCTCACAAACATGCCCAAATGTGTTTCCATGGAGATTCCAAGTGGAGCAAAGTTGATCATAACAATGAGCAACAGAGCCTTTCCTCAGGGCCCAGTGTCCTTCTAAGAAACTGGTGAGGACAAGGTCCAGACACACAGGGTGACACCATGAAGACAAAGACAGAGCCTATAGTGACACATGCCAAAAATAGTCTTAAGATGCTGGAAGACACAAGAGATCCCCACCCCCTTGTTTTAGGGTACTGTGGCTCCCCAGCTGAAACTCATATTTCAGATACCTCAGAGAACAAATCATGCTGTTTTAAGCCATCTAGCTCCTCCTCTAGCTTCTAGATTTACTCAAAGGTCATTTTCTGGTCTCCAGGCCTTTCCTTGGCTTTTCCCTCTACCCCTGCCATGCTCCTCCCATGGTTTCCATGGAAACATGTAAAAATCTAGCTTTTCTACTTCTGTTATTTGTGTGAAGTGGAGGTACCCAGAGGGCAGGCCACAATCCTTTACCCATTGGCACATGACCTTAGGTAAATAACCGCACCCTTAGAGCTGTGGAAAAGAGTGACAAAACTTGCTTTGTAGACATCTGACAGGCTTCCAGGAAAGCAAGTCGAGATAAATACATTCAACAAATAGTTCTCAGGAACTGAAGCAGGCCAGGCACTGCCTGCAGTGCCACAGCCAGACCCAGATACCATGGCCTGTTCTGCAACTGCCCAGTGTTCTGTGACATCCAGGAACTGGACCACCTGGGGATAACCACCTCATTTCTACCTCAGCTCTGCTCTGAGGCAAAGCAGATGGGCTGACTCAAGATGGCTGCTCTCTAGGCACCATCCCTCCACACATTTCCCCAAAGGTTCCTCATCGGCTTATGCTGGACAATTTCCAATACAAATAGAATCCAGGAGCTTCCCCAGCTACCGCATCTCACTACTCCAAAACGTGGGTAACACCCTCCATATTATTCCTTTCATTTTTCCAAAAACTATGTTTTCAGTATGCACCAGGTGTGTCGGCAATGTCAACCTAATTGAGAAGTTAATAATAAGACCAGACTGTGGCCATTTTTACTTGAATGAAAAGGTGACTGATGGTTTGTTTCCTCTACTTAGGCCTGCACCAGCATCCCTTTGAGTAGTTTTTCTCAGACATCACCATCTCTTGGCTCTAAGTGATTGGTTCTTACAGGCTGCTTGAGAAACTCCTTTGAGGACCTCATTGAAATGACAAGCTTTTCCCTAGAGAGTCATCCACAGGTAGGATGTCATGGTGAAATATAGTTCCCAGGGATCTTAGGACCTTCTGGAGGACTTCTGTAACTAAGGTAAAATGTGACGGTGCATGCCTGTTATCTCAGTACTTGGAAGGCCGAGGTCAAAGATCACCAGGTCAATCAAGGGAAGGTTAGGGTAGATGGTGACGGCCTGTGTCAAACAAACAAAAGGCACACTGATGAGAAACAAAGAGTTCCTAACCACTTTCCAAGAGCACCCATCAACCGCACACACAGCTGCCTACTCACCAGAGCACAGCCCAGGCTCCACCTCCCGGCCAGCCTGCTCAGTAACACCACCAGTCAGCTCATCCACCTCCAGCAGGGGGCAAGGTGGTGCATTGGCCACAACCCTAGAACTTGGGAGGCTGGGGCAGAGGGACCGGGAGTTCAAGGTCAGCTTCCACAACCTAGTAAATTCGAAGCATGTCTGGGCCACTTAGACATCCCTTCTCTCACCTCCTCTCTCTCTCTCTCTCTCTCTCTCTCTCTCTCTCTCTCTCTCTCTCTCTCTCTCTCTCCCTCTCCCTCTCCCTCTTCCTCTCCCTCTCCCTCTCCCTCTCCCTCTCTCTCCCCCCCTCTCTTGTATGAAACAATAAGGTTCTCCCTCCCCTTTTGTTCTTTAGCACACATCTGCAGGGGGCTGAGGAGACAGCTCAGTGGGCAAGTTGCTTGTGGTGCAAGTTTCAGAACCTGGATTTGGATCCCAAAAGTCCAGGGAAAAGTCAAACACACATGGAGGCCCTTGTAACCCTGGGGAGCTGGAGGCAGACAGGGAGCTCCCACAGTGAGCTGGCCAGCCAATATCTAAAATAGGGAGTGCAGAGTGCAGTAAAAGAGACTTCCTCTTCCTAGGTATACACAGTGGAGGGAGGTCAAGAAAGACAGCTTACATGATCTCCAGGCCCCCTTACACACACACACACACATGCATGCATGCACATATACACATGCATGCACCTTATTTGTTGGTACGCAATCCTTAAAATACTCCAAGCTATAATCTTATTTATGGAAACTTCTTAGCAATAAGGGAGAATCCTACTAAGAATTGCAAGCCATTGCTATGCTTTACAGTGCATTTCAGCTACATTAATTCAGGCAAGCTATTTCTCACAGGAAGCAGTTCTTTCCAGAGGCAATGGCACACAGTATTATCATCTTGGCTCTTGCGTTAAGAATCCAGGTACTCTATCTTGAGACATTTACACGCTATAAAAAATGATTGTTATCATCTTTTTTTCAAACAACCTTCCTTGTACAGTTGAAATGAGTTCAATTTCATATAGTCATCTTGCATATAACTTAATGCTATAAATCAAACACAAGAAGTGAGCCGCAATTATTATTTAATCCTAAAAAGAGAATGAAGAGACCAAATGCAAACACCATCTTTCATAGATAAAATAGAATTGCGCTATTTATCATCCCTGTAGCTGAACCTTCTACTTAGAAGTCGAGCAAATTGCACTGCGTAGGCTAAATTTCCTTAAGCTCTTCTGGACAAATTCCCTGCATTCAACAGCATATGTTCCAATGTTTAGTCACAAAAGAACCTCTCCAAAGCATTAAGATAATTACACAATTTTAACTTCTAAGTATATATGTATTTTTAAAAAATTAATAACAGTGTACTGCTTTCCTTAGAAGGAAATTTGAATTACAAAGAATGTCTGACTTTTCAAAATTCCTGAACCTCAAAGCCATTTTAAAAGGGCCCATGAGCCAAGTAGCTTCACTAAATATTTATCACAGAATAACGCTTCCACCATCTGAGAGTTTCTGGCGATGGTTCAAACTCAAGTTCCTGACCATTTTTTTTCACCCTCATGTTTCTCGGCATCAAACCAAAGCATGTTGGTTCTAGTACAGCTCATGAAAGCCTCCGAGGGCAGTTCAAAGGAACCTCGAGCATGATGACTTCATGTTCAAAAGAGTCTTCCCGTGTTAACAACATTTAAGTCTCTGACTCACAAGCCTCAGCCAGAGGTTTTGCTCCATCAGCTCTTCCAGGCAGGTGAGCAAAGGGCTCCATTGTCTTAAAAGCAGTGGGGCAGTTTGTCTAAATATGGACAGACTTCGTGAGAAACCCCAATGGGGGAGATGACTATACCCCATTCCTCAGTATAAACTGAAAGAAAAACAACACGAAATTTGTGTTGTTTAACTGACTCTCTCTCTCTCTCTCTCTCTCTCTCTCTCTCACACACACACACACACACACACACACACACACACACACTCTCTCTCTCTCTCTCTTTCTGTGTGGTAGGGTGCACAGAGCAGTCAGGGATCAGTGTCCATTACACTGCTCTGTCCTCTGTCCTCTGCAACTTTTCTTTCTGTCACTGACCCTGAGGCTCTGATTTGGCTAGACTGGCTGCCCAGAAAACCCCAGGAATCCTCCTGTCTCCACTTCCTCAGAAGTGGGATTAGAGGTACACACAATACCCAGCTTTTTTACAAGGAATTTATGGGGCCAAACTCGGATCCTCGTGTGGCGAGCTTTACTGACTGGGCCATTGCCCCACCCCGTAGATGTCCTTAATTAGTAGAACCACTAAGACCCAAGGGTTTTCTTCCAAAGTTGCACAATAGGAAGGATCTACACCTTCCAGGACAGTGGTCTGTCATTAAGTCCATTCCCTAGCAACAAGAAGGACTCAACCAGAGCTAGCAACCCCTTGGGCAGAGCAGAAAAACCGGGGCCTCTCTGTATGCAACCTTCTGGTTTATAAATTCCCACAGAAAAAAATCACCAGTCCAGATCCCGGCCATATGCAGACCTCAGACACCAGCCTTGCATGGACTTCAGGGACTGAAGGAACATCAGTCACAGAGCTGGGGGGAGGGGGGGTGCACCAAGGTCTCTCCTAGATGCTAGTCTTTTTGTCCCCAGAGAAACTTGGAAAGTCCAGAAGTCCCCAAAGAAACAAGACCAGCTTATTTTAATGTCATATGCACTACCTAATTTATAGTCCACTTGGGGACAGGTGGCCAAATAGACTGCTACGAAAGAGTCCAGGTTGTTTTATACTGAGATGACCTGGAGAGTGACAGTGAGAAAAACAGCATTATCCCTTCTGTCTCCATCCCCTCTTCCCCGTTCTTTAACTGGTGTGTCTTGCTTGGATCTATGAGGCCCAGACTCCTCCATAGCCTTCCCAGGTCTGAGAGCCGGGGTTTCTGTTGACTCAGGATTCTAGGACTGCTATTTATTACTCTACTTACTCCAGGGCGTTTGCAATCCCGCAGGGGTGTGATTGTTAATTTGTTCCTGTGAGCTTCTTAAGGAGTCAAAACAGCCAGAGAGAAGCTTGAACTACACACAGGAGTAAGGGGAGAAAATGCTGCAACAGCAAGGGAAGTGACTCACACTAAAGCGAGTTAGGGATCCACTTTCCCATTCAAGCTGGGCCAAATATGTACAGATGGAACATGGTAGGCAAATACTCTACCACTGAGCTACTCCAGCAACCACTGCACAGATGAAATAGACGCCCCCAGAGAAGCCCACTCCAGTCTGCATCAGACACCAAATCTCAACAGCCACCTTGGTGGAAATACTCTTCAGAAACAGTTTTCAAAATGTCCTCCCTTTCCCCGAGTTGCTGAGATCAATAATGACTTGCACTTACGCGCACTCACCTGGAACCTGCTGCTCGTCCTCTCCCAACGCAGCGTCTATACCCAGGTATGAGGAGGCATTTTTCCACACCTCGCCTGTATCTATTCCGACCTGTCCCTGCACCAGTTTACCGGCTGCATTTACCAGGGCATTGAAGTCAAACTTAAGCATTTTTAAGAGGAAGGGCTCAGTCAGTACGGGTATTTTCAATTTCCTCGGAGCCAGGAACACGAGAACACAACACATGGTGGGAATGGCTGGCAGAAAGGAGCAAACTGACATTTCTCTGCATGCCCCACTCCGTGCTCCCCTCGGCTCCGGTTGGGTTTCTGTTGCTGTGACAAGCGATTGGGGAGGAAACGGTTGGTTTGGCTTACACTTCCATGCCACAGTCCAGTCAGGGCAGGAGCTCAAGGAAAACACCCGGAGGCAGAAACGGAAGCAGAGACCATGGCTGCCTGAGTTGCGTCCTCTGGCTTGATTAGCTGTATCTCTTATATTGCCTAGACCCACCTGCCTAAGGATGGTACCGCCCACAGGGGGATGGGCCGTCCTACATCAGTTAGTGGTTAAGGAAATGCCCCCACAGACACACATGCGGGGCAATCATTCTCATAATTTCTCAACTGAGGTTTACTCTTCCCAGGTGACTAGTCCATGCTGTTGCTCAAAATGAACCAGCACCTCCTCCGTAAAATATAGACATACCGTTTCCTTCTGGTCATAATATGGAATTCTATATTAAGCCAAGGTCTGTGGAGGGAGGATCCTATACTCTTGTTAAAAATTTAGTCAGAAAATCACAGCTAAATCCACTGATACTGAAATCTCATTATAAATCTTAATGACAATGAGGCAGAATCCATTTTGTGCTTGTGTGTATGTGTTAACATGTGTAAGGGTACACGTGTACATGACACATGGTTGTGGAGGCCAGAGGTCCACCTCAGGTAGCCTCCTCAATCACTCCCCCCTTAGTTTTTTGAGACAGGGTCTCTCACTGAACCTGCCACTCCCTCATGAAGCTGGGTTGACCTGTCAAAGGCTTCCAAAGAGCCTCCAGTCACTGCGGCTGCCCCGGTGCCAAGACTGCAGGCACCGGCCTCCACACCAAACTGTTTAGTGGCTACTGGGAACCCAAAGCTGGGTCCCTACACTTACATGGCAGCCATTGTACCCACTGATTTATCTCCCCAGCCCCTCAATCACTTAAAAATGCAAATTGTTAGGACCTCGTCAACACCATCCTGTGTGACACAGAATATCTTCATAACAGAGACCCACTTCGGATGGGTTCCCTGGGAGCTCAAGCCACATGGGTGTAATTAGATAATCTTTTCTAGGTCTAGACTGCCAAAAATTATGAATGTCTTTTATTTTCGGGAAATAAGAACAGAATGAATAACATGGTGACTTATTAAAACTCCTTAATTCCAAGGTCACTGCTCTGAGGTTATATTGTTTGCAAAGATGGTTAGAAAAAACTAAGTGCCTTAAGTCTGCCCCGCCCCCATGCCCAGAAAACTAAAAATTTTGTAAAAATTTTTGTTTAAATTTTCCATTTAACATGATAAGAGCACTTAATAGAGGTTTCAGTTATAGTTATATATAATTATATTGTAAAAGTAATCAATGAAATAAATAATTCCAAAGTGAGATTATATGTTGAAATGTTCAATAACCATTTTTTAGTCTCATTAACATAAAAAAGATAGTAATATCTGTTCAATAAATGGGGTTCAAAACAGACACCTAATATGGGCAAGAAAACAAATTGTGGTTTTATGAGCCATAGTTTTTTCCTATTATTTTGTATATGGGTGTGTGTGTGTGTGAGAGTCCTATTATTTTGTATATGGCTGTGTGTGTGTGTGTGAGAGAGAGAGAGAGAGACAGACAGACAGACAGACAGACAGACAGACAGAGCATGCAGGTCCCCACAGAGGCCAGAAGAGGGCGTGGATCTCTCCGGAACTGAAGTTACATGCAGGTGTAAACTGTTTTTTTTGTTTTGTTTTGTTTTTTTTGCTTTGGTTTTTTGTTTTTCCATGCAGGGTTTCTCTGAGCTCTTGGTATGCCTGCAGGAAACTGAGCCAGAGCCCTCTACAAGAGCAGCAAGTGCTCTTAACCTCTGAGCCCTCTCTCCAGCTCCCCAATAAGAAAAATAGTATTAAATACCCATAGAAAACTTTCAATGTGACCAATAAACTGGTTAATGAATAAACTAAAAGTACTTGTATAATTATTTTACATTGTTCTGTATTAGAATACAGAACATGATACATGAAGAGATTCTAAAATGCTCTAAAAAGCATATTTTTCATGTACTAAACATTAATTTTTCTGTGCTAGTATTTGTATTGCATGTACTTTCAGACAATGACTAGTATAAATATTAATGAGGACAATCCAGCATATGTGAGTGTTAAATCATCAAGCTTTGTGTCCACTGAAAGGGAAAGATGCATCCCTAAGACCATTTATTCCAGTCAACCACAGAATATAATTGAAACCTGAACTACTTGAGACCATTCACCATCCATCCCATCCATCCATCCATCCATCCATCCATCCATCCATCATATCCATTCATTCATGAAACTCATGCTTACATATCATCTACTATTATATATGGAGGCCTTGACCCTCATTTTTATTAAGACAATCTGCAGCTTGCAACGATCTACTGCTTGGAGCACTCTAACGTTCTCAAAGAGGAAAGGGAGATGAAAAAGCCATTAATTTCTTTTGGTACTTGCTCTTTTGGACATACCTCCCCAGTGACTGTGGGGAAGCTAGGATCTTAAATCATAAGGTGTCTGCCTGGGACACGAGATATGTGAGTGACCAGATGAGACACTGAATGACCTGCCTACATGAGCTGTGCAGACAAAGGCTTGGGAAGTGAGTGAAAGTAGCACAGAGGCTCATCTGGGCTTCATGCCCTAGACAAGTAGAGGTTTGCAGTGGCATGGATAATGGGAAAGAATATGGACAAGCAAAGGGATTGATTTATGAAGCTAGAGTGAAGGCGCAGCAGTTAAGAACACTGGATTCTTGCCCAGAGGACCTGGGTTCAATTCCTAGCACCCCATTGTGGCTCACAATTGTCTATGACTCTGGTTCCAGGGTATCTGGTGCCCTCTTCTGGTCTTTACAAGTACTGAACCCATACGGTGCACATACATACATACATACAAGCAAAACACCCATACCCGTAAAGTGATTTTTTTATTTAAGGGAGGGGTCTGAGAGTTACACCAGCCAATCCTGGTGACCAGAAAGAAGCCCAGTGTGAACAGGGAAAGTCTAAGAGCTGGGGGAGGGGTGGAATCAGGCGCTGCTTCTTTCACAGCCCTCTGCCTTCCTCTCATCTGTCTGCCTCCCTCCCACCCCTCCAAGCTACCATCATTCCCATAAATGGTATCTTCCTCTACATGCTACACAGGTACACCAGAAAACCAGGAATGCGAATAACACCTATGACAAACCATTGTTCTTCTTATACATAAAGTTTTATTGATTCCTTACATTGGTGATCATTTTTGCTCTTCAGACGACACCAAAACACAGAGGTTAGTGACTTGGTCATGGCTGTGAGCAGTAGTAAGGCCGTTCACAGACACAAGCAATGTCATAATCTTGGAACAGTCGAGACAAACGAACACAGATACAACCTTCCAGCAAGACTGCACTCCACCATTGGAGTAGGATGGAGACCCCTTTCCACCATGTGGCTTTCATTCATCTCTGCTCTTCTGAAGACTTAGTCCTCACAGCTAAGGTCCCTGTTCTAAGCCTATATCCATGTCTGTGGTGGTGCTCACCTGTAGCCCCAAGGCATGTGGGGGCTGAAGGAAGAGGAAAGCTTAAGGCCAACCTGAGTTACACAGTGTGATCCAATATCAATAAATAATAATAAACAAACAGTTGTTGTAGCAATTGGGCTGGGCGTGATGGTACATACCTTATCCCAGCACTTAAGAGGCAGAGGCAGAAGGATCAGAAGTTCAGTGTCATCCTTAGCTACACAGGGAGTTCAAAGTCACCCTGGGCTACATGAGACCCTGTCTTAAAAACAACAATATCAATAATGTTGATAAAAGTAACAAATGTTTATTTTAAATTGACACATAACACATGTGCATGTTGGTGGGGTGCCATTTCTATATACCTAATTGCTAAAGACTCTCAAACCCCCACGCTTACTTGCAAAGCCAGCTAGAAGCTAATGGAGTCTAACACTTTATAGTCCTGAGAAACCCTGGGGCAGAGCCTTCTACAGAACAATAACTACTTCTCAACAACTGAGGATGGATTTTTTTAAACACCCACTTCTTATACAAAGTACCTCGCCTCAAGAGATTGCTATCAACTACAGTGAGGTTAAAAATTGTGCCCTCTGTCATTGTCTCCTTCTCACCCCCATTCTCCCAATGTATACATTCCGATGTCTTGCAAAGCAGTCAAAGGGACCTTCAAGCAGAGCCTTTCTGTGGGTTAACAGTGAATGAATAACGGCTGGGCTGAGGGAGCAAAGAGAAAATGGGTCAAGGATACTGTGTTTAATACATAAACTTTCTCTGAAATGTTTGTACATCCAAAGGCAGCTTTGCGATTACATGCAGCTGGGGCTCAGAGCCAAACACTCAATACCATGGAAAGCCAATATTCTTTTGCTCAAATTGGAGTCATTGCAGCTTAATACCTATGTCCTTTTCACAACCATGAAACCTCAGTGAGGCAATAACTGAAAAGCCTTAAGCAGGGTGAGGTGGTTTAGCCATGTTTTGCAATCCAAGTACCACTTGGGGTGGTTGCCAGCCTGAAGGGACCTGCCGGCACTTGGTCTACAAAGATCTCAAAACCCCCAGCTATGAGGTAGCACTTTAGGTACGGAGAAATCAAAGATCCTCCTTTCAAGTATCTGTAGCACTAGGCATACCTCATCGTCTCCTATATGCTGGCTCTTGTGGATGAGCAATGGGAAACCTGGGGAAACACTCTTTAACACAAATCACAGAAAACATGTGCCCAGCACACAGTAGGTTCTTCACAGACATCTGTTACTTTTCTTCCTTTCTCCTCAAATGAACGAAAGCAAACAAACAACCTCAAACAACAACCACCACCACAGGTGATCTGGAAGATGGCAACAGATTAAAATAAGTTCTTCAAAGTTATTTGAATGTCTGAATAATGAGTGGAATTTGGTACTGTTCAGTAGCAATTTTTAAAAAATCATTTGTTTTATTTATGTATAAATAATTAAATAAGCAAACACATATTCTGACACCCAAGGAGGCCAGAAGAGGGCATTGGATCTAGAGAAGCTGGAGTCACAGACTGTTTAGAGCTGCCTCGGGTGGGTGCTGGGACCCACACTCCAGTCTTCTGCAAGAACGGAAACTATTCTTAACCTCTGACCCATCTCTCCAGCTGCCCTGAATACAGTTTAAATGGTGATAATATAAATAAAAATCCTTTTGCAGGGATGTGATCACATACATTTCTGAAGTTAAAGGTAAGCCAATACACACAAAATGTATATTGAATACAAAACAATATAAGCAGAGATATTTTTTTATTCTAGAAAACATAGTAAGGACTGGGTGTACAGTTCAGTCAGTCGAGTGCTCCCCTAGAATATAGTGCTCAACCTGTGCTCTTCCCCTCGGATAAGCCACAGTCAGATTATCGTGACAAATCCCTGCTCTCCCCTGGACCTGTGCACGGTGGCCCTTACCCTGAGCAGTGGCCTGAGCGAGGGCTGCGCTCATGCCTGCAGCTCTATTCTAGTAATAAAGTTTTCCTTCAAGCGCTCCCTTTGTTGTGAACTTCAGTGACTCTCCTCCTACAGGCAGCACCCAGTCACACACAGCTTCCCAGAGCCAGTTCCACAAAGCCGAGAGAAGCTCAAGATGACTCATGCAAGGTCAACTCCCAAGTCAGTGGACAAGCCATAAATATAGCCTTCGCTCTGCTTGGGGTTTCTAGTGCTGGACCAGTCTATGAGTTTTGTTTGTTGGTTTCAATGTTCCCTTGGGTATTTCAGAGCAGCTTGGGTTGACAAGATACACGCAAGAAGCTTTTAAACAAATTTCATTAACATTGCACAATTTCACATTCCTGGACCTCTAGCATGTGCCAATTAGCTTTTAACATATGCATTTTAAATGTTTAAATTAAGTTAAAATTTAATTAAAATTAAATATGTTTAAATGCATATGATAATCCATTCAAAACTGCCCTCAAATACAAGTGGGCCATAGCCTATGGCTCACTAGCCTCAGAAATCAGCTGGACCTGATTTCCCCCCTCCCCATTAGATGCAAATGAATCACAAGGCGTGATAAAAAGAAAGACTTTCCATTTCAGAGCTGCCTCTTCTGCCCCAGACTCCAAAGACCCACATAAACAATGCCAGGGAAAGCAGGGAGAAGACAAGTCAGAGCAGGAGATGCAGAAGGCATGGAAGGAGGGGACTAGCATCAACAGCTCTGAGCTGCAGTTAGAATAAGGGAGCTAGGGGCTAGAGAGATGGCTC